ACAGTGCAAATATTCGTAACCTTAGCATTTTAAGAACTAAAACACCAAAATATGACACTGTGTTTGAAGTTGGACGAGAAATAGAAGGCTTTGTTGTTAAAGAAGTCAGGCCAATTGCTGACTTTCAGCTCACTGCATTACGTCTCGAACACCAGAAATCTGGGGCAGATTATCTACACATTGATAGAAACGATACTAACAATGTTTTTAGTGTGGCATTCCGTACAACACCAAAGCAGTCAAATGGATTACCACATATTCTTGAACATACTACTTTATGTGGTAGTAAAAAATTCCCATGTCGTGATCCATTTTTTAAAATGCTTAATCGTTCCATGGCGAATTTCATGAATGCCATGACTGCACCTGATTATACCTTCTATCCATTCTGTACTGAAAACCAATCTGATTATTATAATCTTATGTCAGTATATTTAGATGCTGTTTTTAATCCAATGTTACGAGAATCTGATTTTCGTCAAGAAGGATGGCGTTTAGAACACAAAGATGTGGAAGATAAAAATTCTCCAATAGAGATAAAAGGAGTTGTCTACAATGAAATGAAAGGTGTGTATTCAGATAATCAACAAATTTATAATGAACATTTTCTGAATAACATTTTACCAAGTAATACATATGGTATTAATTCAGGTGGTGATCCTAATGTTATACCATCTTTAACTCATTCTGATCTCGTTGCTTTTCACCATAGATATTATCATCCAAGTAATAGTCGTTTCTATTCTTACGGAAATTTTAACTTGGGAAATCATCTTAAATTTTTAAATGATACATTTTTAAAAGATTGTTTAACAGACCTTTCTATTAAACAAGAAACAAAGGTTCCAAATGAAAAACGTTGGACAAAATCTAAACGTGCACATGTTGCTTGTAGAGAAGATCCAATGGTGCCTAAAGATAAACAATCATCGTTGAGTATTGGCACTCTTTGGAGCGATATCACAAATACACAAGAAACCTTTGAGTTAGCCATACTTTCGAGGTTATTATTAAATGGTCCTAATGCTAAGTTTTATAAAACTCTTATAGAACCAAACATAGGAACTGATTTCAGTGCTGCAACTGGTTTCACAGATCAGACAAGAGACACATTTTTTGCAGTAGGACTTCAGGGGTTAAATATATCAGATTTTGAACGAGTGGAATCAATTTATGAAGACACAATTAAATCAGTCATCAAGGAAGGTTTTGATAATCGTGATATTGATAATATTTTACACTCAGTTGAACTTTCTATGAGGCATCAGACTTCAAATTTTGGATTACAATTGTTATATGGTACATTGCCTATTTGGAATCATGATGGTAATATACTAGATTCCATGTGTGTCAGTGAAAAGATAGATGAATTTAAAAAAAAACTGTCTAATCAACCTAATTATTTACAATCACTAGTTGATAAATATTTGTTAAATAACAATCACAAACTTGTAATGACGATGTCACCAGAAAACAACTTTGAAGAATCTAGAAAAGAAAACGAGGACAAGTTACTAAAAGAAAAACTGGCTCCTTTAACTGATGCAGACAAAGAAAACATTTATCGTCAAGGTTTAGACCTTCGAAAGCAACAAGATGCAACACAAGATGTTACATGTTTACCATCGTTGAGCCTCAATGATTTAAAAAAAACAACTGATTCTGTACCACTCATAAGAGAAAACATAAATAACACTCCGGTATTTATATTTCCACAACCAACTAATCAAGTGACTTATTTTAGAAGTTTAATAAATACATCACATTTATCTGACGATTTGAAGACTCTCATTCCATTATTTTCTAATGTTGTTACCAGAATGGGTACCAGATCTATGGACTTTAGGCAATTTGATCAATTGGTGAGAAAGTCTACTGGAGGTTTACAAATGTCCCAATCAATTATAGATTCACCTACAAATTTATTCAACATGAAAGAAAGTGTTATTCTAAACTCTCATTGTTTGGACAAAAATGTTGATGAAATGTTTGATCTTTGGAAACAAATATTTACAGAAGTAACTTTTGAAGATGAAAACAGATTCAAAACTCTTTTACAAGAAGAGGCAAGTAGTTTAGCCAATAGTATTTCAGGTAGTGGACACATGTATGCAATGCTGTGTGCAACTGCTGGTATTAATCCAATTGATGCTCAACGTGAAACGTACGGTGGACTTCAATATGTTAGTACCATGAAAAAAATTGCCCAAATTGATGATTTAACATCAATATTGAAAAAACTAGAAGAAATCGGTGCAAAGATATTAAACAAAAATACTATGAAATGTTCATTAACCGTAGTAGAAAACAACTCTACAGCAATTAAAGGTCTTGAAAGTTTTCTCAATACAATTCCCGGAAACTGGAATCAGTTAAATGAATATAATAAAATTGATAAACAAGATAACAATGTAAAGTGTTTCCATCATGTGTTACCATTTTCCGTCAATTATTGTGCAAAAGCTCTACCAGGTGTTCATTACGTTCATAAGGATTTTGCTCCATTGAAAGTTCTTTGCAAGTATTTAAGTTCGAAATATTTATTGCCTACAGTAAGAGAAAAAAATGGTGCATATGGATCTGGTGCCTCACTGAGTATGTCTGGAAGTATTCAAATGTTCTCCTATAGAGACCCAAAACCAATTGAAACATTTGAAGCCTTTGATGGCGTTTGTAATTGGGTAAATAATAAAAAAATAACAATTGAAGAATTAAATGAAGCAAAATTAGCTATATTTCAAGGAATAGATCATCCAGTTGCACCAATGTCAAAAGGTAATGCGTTGTTTTTCAACGATATGGACCAACAAATTAAACAAGAACACAGAAATCAAATCATGAATGTAAAAATTGAAGATCTTTTAAGCGTAGCTAACTTATACTTTTCAAACACAAATTTTTCCAAAGCTCTAATCGGTCCAGCGAATAATGACATTCATTCAGGAACTAATTGGAACGTGACCAACCATGAAGACTTATAAAATCATATTTTTGTATAAAAATTTATGTGTAAATTCAGCAATGAAATATGTTTATTAACGTTATTCAATTTAGAACTTAATTGTTTTTTTTAAATATAATTTGTTATAACTATTAATAGTATGAGTTTGTAAGAAAAGTAAAATTTGTTGAATTTTCAGTTGAACATGGTTTATTACTTTATTTTAATAAATACACCTTATTATACAGGTTGTTCCATAAAGAATATCTAGGCTTAAAAACAATAAATTCTATAAAGTATTATTATTTTTTTTTTTTTTGAAAATTGAACCTGGTACCAATCCAAACTGTAGGAAAATATAAATTAGAATATAAAAAGCTCTATAGAAGTCAGCTAGTGACATAACGCTATTAGTATTTATGCGCTCGTATTACCTGTAGGGAACAAATTTATATGTAATAAAAGTACAGAAATATGGAGGTTTAGTCTATAAAATATGTGCTAAAAACATTAGAATATGTGGGAAAAAATTGAATTAAACAAAAAAAATACAGTAAGTATAATTATTAAATCATCAAAATGATTTGTTGCATTGAATAATTACAATTTCTTTTAAATTATCAAATGTTAAATTTTGTATATCAGGTCTTAAAATATTTTTAAAACAGCTAATTTCACATCAATTAATGTAATTAGAAGATATTTGAAGTGCATAATATCTGAAGACGATAATTCCAAATTTTTAAAAGGATATGTGCCACTAATAATGTCATCGATTATTTTAAAATCAATGTAGCCTGGATTATTTTCTGAAAAAATATGAATTTTTTCGACAATATATCAATAGGCTGTTTTGTCCACTGCAACATAAATTGAAAACATATGAATGATAAAATATGTTTAAAAATATTTACAAATTAGTGAAATCTGTAAAATAAAAGTATCATCATTTTAATAAGAATGATTTAAGTTGTAAACATTTCTTATTGAATCTTAAATATCTTATTTTGATAAATATATACATTTACATATAAATCTGTTCCTTGATTATTTGTTTTTACAATTTGTATAATTTTTAAATTATTACCACTTTTTTTTAACTATTTATAATAATTTCATTTTTTTTTTTAGTAATTTTTTTTAGATAAATCAAAAAATTTGAAAATTAACTATGAAATTCCTCCTAAGTTGTTGTAATACATATTTAGAGATATTAAAGATACATAGGTACAATTTGTTTTAAAGTATTTCAAATTAAATTATATAGTAAGTTTAGGATTGAATATTAAATGTTTTCTCATAAATAATTCATACTGTAACCAAAAATCTAAAAAATAAATAAATATTATTTTATCAATAAACATTTAAATTGTAAGTTCAAATTAAGAAAAAATTACATTATATTATTCATAAGGATTTGAAACTTTTAATGTATATAATTATATTTTATACACACATTTCGGTCAATTATTCCTTAATAACAAAAAATACTCAACATCTCTGCATAGTAACCTACATTTCACTTTTCTATATTTAACCATTTACATAATTTATATTCAAATGTAAGTATTCAAATACATTTTAATACAATAATCTTCAACTCTGATCATAGCTCAAGAAATTTTATTGATTCAACAAAATGTTATGATACATAGTTTTTTAATATTCTAACACTATTACAGAAGAACAATTTTCATGAGATACAAATTAATATTCTAACACTATTACAGAAGGACAATTTTCATAAGTGAGGATACAAATTAATTCTGTTCAAAATATTAAGGTTTACTATTGGTAATTAGTACAATTATAAATATTTTAAAACATTCAAAAGATTTTTTATTTGTATACATAATACATAAGTAATCAATATTACAACAAAATCAAAATTGGTTAATAATTTTGTGAATTAAAATCTAAAATATCATACTTAAAAATGTTAATGATAAATACTATAATGTTTAGTTTATCAATGTAAAAATTATTTGGTTAAATTAAATGAATGAATACTAGGAAATTAAATTAAATTATTATATACTTATAATAAAACAAACTTTACATTATAAAAGAAAATAGATACCAATTCAAATATCAAGTTTATTAAATTACTTTTAGATACATCAGAAATGAGTCATTTTTGAGTAAGAAATTTAATTATTTTTCAAAATTTTAGAAATATGATTCACAAGATGTTATTTAGGTTTTAATTGTTCATTAGTAACATCTAAACTACTATCAAAAATATCAGCCAATACATCAGAGGAAGCATCAGAAGGAACATCAGCTGGAACATCAGCAGGAACATCAGCAGGTACATCAACAGGGACATCAACAGGGACATCAACAGGGACATCAGCAGGGACATCAGCGGGGACATCAGCATTTATTACAGTGGGAGAACTAGATTCTGATATATTCAGATTATAAGGATTTTCACTCCCATCAATGTTTGATGACAAAAAGTTTTCCACTTTCTCATGTAACTCAACTTCCATTTCAACTGGTAACTCATCTAAAAATAAAATAAAATAAAATATTTAAAGCTTATAAATAATTGATTTCATTTATTTATTAAATAGTATAATATGTTTATACGTTTATATTTGTTAAAAAAAGAGTTTTGATATGAAGAATCATTTACAATTAACTTGTTTATGGATTACTATATAAATATTACATTTATTATGTATATCTGTAAACTAAAAATTACAGACTATAGGCTATAAGAATAACTAGAAAATTATTTTAAAAAGTTTTATCCATTTTTGTGTGACTTAAATAGTTCTTAATGAGTCAAAACCCCAAGTTATTTCCATATTTATAAAAGGCACTGATTCAATGTGTTACACATACATTTTCTGTTCACTGGGCAACCATATATAGCTATTATCTTTATTTCTATTTATCTTTCTTGTCTTTTAAAAACTCATCATAATTTATGTCATAATAGCATCTTTCATGTCTAATAGAAATTTGTCAAATATAGTTTAATTGTTTGGGTGAATGGATCTTTACCACTCTTCTTTAAATTGTCCAGGCAATAATGAAGAAGCACCGTTTACTCTTATTTCATATCACTTTTACGCTCTATGATTTGGATGTTGGCATTTGTATCAGGATCAATAAACCATTCTTGATGATTCATGGTATTGTGTAGGTATTCTTCACTGTTTAATGACAAATAAGCTCTCCATTTATCGCTATGAATTATATTTCCTCATGCCATGCATAGCCAATAACCAGATAGGAATACGCACATTGTCCATAAGTCACATACTGGCCTGGCAAAATTAGCAGTTGTAGATCGCACATTCAACCGTTGCCTTATAATTTTTATTTATTTTCCTAGTAAAAAAATACTGGGCTTCACTGAGAACAGTTTATAAGTTTGGAATAAAAATAGTTAATTAAATCAGGTATTTGAAGGGGATATACAATTTTAGCCATAAAAATATTATTTAATTTATTTAAACGATTTCCAAGTAAAATCTTTCCAGAATAATTATAATATAATAATTATAATTGTGTAAAATTAAGGAAATTAAGAAATCAGCTTTTAATAAAATTAGATACTCAAGTTAAGAATAAATCATAATTTAACTCATACCACGAGCACGTGCACCAACTTCTTTGTATAATTCTTCAAACTTAACATTAGTTAAATCTTGACCATCTTCATGTCGTTTTTGAAGAGAAGCGTACACTAATTTTTCTACTTTTTCGACCCACTTGGATTCAATTAGTCGTATATTGATCCGATCTTTGACACTGCATAACAAAAAGGAATAACTATTATTATACATATTTAATTATGAGTTCTTAACATAAAAATGAATGGAAAATAGGTAGGTATCCTAATAATTTTAGTTCAAGTCAAATTTAACGATCATAACAACTAAAGAAATTAAAAATGTTTGTGCAATTATAAACATTAGACAGGTAAATATCATCTTAGAAATAAAGTATGTATTATTAAAAAATGACTTACATTTGATCTACAGTTATAGATCGATTACACATCTTTCTGAATTCGATAGATATGTTGAGATAAATTTGAAAAGGCACTCGTGTTTTCTGCTTTTAGATCAAAATACAAAATACATGCATACAACTGAAATAATGTTACTGACTGTCTTACTAAAGTACTGAAACGTCTGAAACATATATTAATATTTAATATATTTGTGGGCATCAAGCACTTTTCTCGAAATCATGGATGAATGGATGTACTGATTTAGATCACAATTCACAAGTCGATGAGAACAACTGCTATCAAGTAAAATAGGTACCTAATCAGAATAAAAAAAATACATTTTTTTTTTTTATCATTTACGTTTTGATAACATAGTAGTCTCAAGTCTGGAGTGTTTAGACCACAAATATATAAAAATATTTTTATATATCTGTGGTTTGGACTCTGTAGTCTAAAGTCTATAGAGTATAAATACCAAATACTGAAAAACCTATCTAAATGACTAGATCCTCAAACTAATCAGGAAGTATAGAAACGTAGGTACCTACCCGATACAATGGATTAAAATATTATATAAATATATTACCAATAGGGCAATAGACAATAGTATTAAGACAATTTATAGTATAAATATACGAGGTCTGGCTATTAAATAAAAAGACTGCACGCCTAGAGAGCGCCCTAGACGGGTAGGGTAAAAACGAGAAGTGCGTTGGGTATCTGGATATCTTGTCTATGCACTATGCCACTATGCAGTATGCAGTATGCACGTCCCAAAACATTAAACAGTAAACACGTTTCCGTCAATATTACAGTACTTGTGCAGTTGCGGTTAGAAACGAATGTGTTTTTTTTCTCGTGCCGAAAACCATTTGTGATGAAAAACAGGAGCAACGTATCAATCTCAAATTTCTCGTTAAATTGAAAAAAACTCCGACTAAGTGCTATAAGTTGTTACAAGAGGCCTATGGGGACAATTCTCTATCTCGTGCACGTATTTTTGAGTGGTGTAAACGCTTTAGTGAGGGTCGAGAGAACACTGAAGATGATCAGCGCCCAGGTCGCCCTGTGACTGTTTCAACGCCAAAAACAGTGACCAAAATTAACCAAATTGTGCGTGTAGGTCGTTGAATGAGCATCCGGATGATTGCCGAGGCTGTAAACGCCGATAAAGAAACAGTTAGAAAAAAAATTTGACGTTGAAACAAAGCGACAAGAATCGCCCAGAATCAAAAAAGCAAGGATGTCCAAATCAAAATTCAAGGTAATGTTGATCGTATTTTTCGGCATTAACGGTATCGTGATGACTGAATGGGTTCTAAATGGTTCAGACTGTCAACCTGACTTACTATTTGTCAGTTTTGGCAACAATGCGAGAGCGAGTTCGTAAAAAACGGCCAGAGTTGTGGAAGAACAACCCGTGGATTTTACACCAGGACAACACACCTGCCCATAACGCGCTATCTGAGAAGCAGTATTAGGCCAGTAAGCGTACTCCAGTGCTCGAACATCCGCCGAACTCACCAGATTTGGCACCGTGCGACATTTTTTTGTTTCTATAAAATTTGCTTTAAAAGGGACCCGGTTTGAGTCGATGGAAGCAGTAAAGCAAGAAACGGCAGAGCTCATAAAGGCCCTCACCAAAAAAGACTTTCAGCAATGCTTCGATCAATGGAAACAACTTATGGAAAGGTGTGTGAGTGTGTGACGATGGGGAGAGGAGCATTCGAATGTAAAATCATTTTTATAATAAAACCCTTTTTCGTAACCAGTCTCGTTATTTAATAGCCAGACCTCGTACTATAGACCACGAATTAAGATTTATCGTGGTTACTACTATTGTATTAACTACTTAATAATTAGTATACCTAATAGAAATATGTTTTAACCCATATAGAGTGTAACAATTATCAGAAAATATATTAAATAGGATTAAATCCTGTAAAATAGAGATTTTACATAGCTTTTAACATTAAAGCTTTAAACTTACTGACCTTACGGTCAGGATTTAGAAATTATAATTTGTTATCTAAAACTTGAAAATTCTATATGCAGTATACTGCCTAGTATTTATTTTTACCTGTTGTTATTAAATGTATTATAATTTATAATAAATTAACATGTGTAATTATATAGTTTTATTAAAAAACTAAAAATTGTTAATAAAAAGATCATCATTATTAAGCTAGAATTTTAATGACTTGCATTTTTACCTTCAGTGCTATACAGTTTTCATAAAAATCAAATTTATTTAGTTGTTTATACCTACTAAATAATTTAAGGAATGTAATTTTTATTTGCATTTTTTAGGTCATTTTTACAAATATTACGTTAATTTTGAGTATTTAAACTAATTTTTATTTATTTTAAGCTTTTTTTTTAATAAATGTTGTACAGATAATCCCAATTATCTACTCCAATCCATTAATATTTAAAAAGCAATATAATTCATTGTCAACTCAGATTTGAATATATTTGTTTAATTTACTTCTTATAACAAATGTTTACCTATTGTGTGTAATATAAAAAATGAAAGCGTGTACTTGAAACACACTAGTATCTTTAAAAGCAATACATGTCATACGTGTCAAGAATTTAAGAAAAAATCGAAATTCGATATCTAGTTATTATTTATAATGTTAGGTAATTCCTAATTAATTACATTGTTTAAATATTTACCTATAATCATAGACCTTATAGTATAAGGTCTATGCCTATAATATATCAAATATTCATGTAAACAATGAAAAAAAGCTATAAATATTATTTTGACGAATATTTTTATTTTTTTTATTTTTACAAGATATTTACAATCTATTCAAAGAACAATAAGTAAATTTGATAAGAGTAATAAAACATGAAAAGTATAACGGAAGAAGCCACCCATTGATGACACTACCTATTTTGTTTCGTTTCAGTTTAATAAGGGGATTTTCTAGGATTCATGCATTTAGCAGGTCACGACACCAGTTACGTTTAAGACGTCTAGCGGGATTACTCGGAATCGAAGGGTTTGCTAGATTTTTTATAAGAGGATTAGGATGGTTGGGTAACCTACTGTGGAAACGCTTATAATATAGTTTTGCTTCGTCTTTGACGGAATTCATTTTAAGGTCTTGTTGAATAGAATGGTTGGAGACATAAGGTGGAACATTAAGTAGTTTCCTTAGCGCAATATTTTGAAAAGTTTGGATCTTATTGATGTTAGATTTTTTTGCATTACCCACGAGCTGTATGCCATATGTCCAGATGGGCTTGATTAGAGATTTATAAATAAGAAGTTTAGTTTTATTATTTGTGTATTTATTGTTTTTGCAAAAAGTTTTTAACAGGCGCAGCCGTAGGTTTAAATTTTGTCTTTTAGATTTAAGGTGAGGGGCCCAGGTAAGTCTGCAATCAAGTGTAAGTTCTAAATATTTGACAATGGAAGAAGTAGGAATTTGAGTGCCATATATAGATAACTCGGGGCAAGGAGAGAGACGAAGTGTGAATAAGGTGTGGATAGATTTTGTCTGGTTAATTTTAAATCGCCACTTGGTATACCAGTCTTCCATAAAGATTAAGTGATTTTGAAGATTGTATGAAGCTATTTCCGGATTTGAATTGATAGATATTATTATCTTATCGTCAGCATAGTCAGCAACTAAAGTGTTAGGTGAGGTAGGCTGATCAGCAGCATAAATGTTATAAAGTACTGGAGAGAGTATACCTCCTTGGGGAACACCGGCTGAAATATTGGATATAGTTGAGTGTGCATTACCGAATCTGATTTGAAAATGACGGTTTGACAGGTATGCTTTAATGGTTAGGTAATAAATAAGGTGCAAATTTTTTTTAATTTGACTAGAAGACCATCGTGCCATACCCTGTCAAACGCTTTTGTGAAATATCTAAAAAGGCATAAGTATAATACTGTTTTTTTTTTGAGTGAGAACGAGATGGCATCGACAATTCTGTGTACCTGATGAATAGTAGAGTGGGCTGAACGGAAGTCAAATTGGGTCTCAGGTAGAACCGAGTTTGAGATATTAAGTAAGATGCGCTTAAGGATCAATTTTTCAGAATGTTTGCGAAAAAAGGCAGAAGACTAATAGGACGAAAGGAAGATACGGTATCTGGAGGTTTCTTAGGCTTGAGAATCATAATAATAGTTGAAAATTTCCATAATATTGGAAAGTAAGAAAGTCTTAAAATACAATTAAAAATGTGAGTGAGGTGTATTATAGCTTTTTTTGGTAAGCATCTGGCAACTTCGCCTGTGATGAGATCGAAACCTGGAGATTTTTTCTGCGAGTACTTATCAATAACATATTTGACTTCACTTGGTGAAAAGTGTTTTACAGGACGAAAAACAGGAAGAAGAGAATTTAGAGACTCGGCAACAGCAAAATTATTTTCAAGAGAGAAAATTTCGGGATGGGGTTGAAATATCTCAGGAAGAAAACCTTTAAATAATTCAGCTTTTTCCCAGTCGGTGCAGACAAAGGATCCATCTGATTTTTTAATTAGTACGTTAGGAGAATTGCGTTTACATGTTCTTTTGGTGGCTCTCTAAAGACTGCCGTCATTAGGAGACAGATTTATCAAGAATTTTTCAAGTAAAGAGGCTTTATGTTTGGCCAACATTTTTTTAAGGAGATTAGAGAGTTTATTATAGTTATGTTTAAGAGAGGGAAGGCGAGTACGTTGGAAAAAGGCTCTAGCCCTCCTCTTATCTGCAATTAATAGACGAATATCAGAAGGAACTGAACTCTGATTTAGAGGATGATGTGAGTGTGAATTGGATGATCAAGCCGCTGACTGGATCAAATTTGTAAAATTATTTATAGAGAACATTTTATTATAAAAACATACATATTTCAATTTATACCATAATTTTATTATAAAATTTACTTCTATAAAGATTATCAGATATTTTTATCTGATTATTTTATCAGATATGGGATTAACATACCTACTATAATTTTTTATGAGATTCAATTCATCGAGATAAATTTATTTAGGACCCAATTTACCGATTCCGTCCCTCAAAACTATTTAAGATGAAAAATAGATGAATCTTTACTAAATAAATATAAATATTTACAAATTACAATATTTTGTCGTGGATATGATACTAAAATGGTTGTACAACCCTTTATTTAAATTTTTGACGTGATGCTAAGGTGACAACCTTTCATTATAATTGACTGCCTATTTAAGTGATCTAGCCGCAGTTTCCTTTTTGCTTTGTTCGTAAATTTGGCTTGTTAGAACTTAGAAGGGAGGCTAAAATTATAAGCATTTCACATTGAACAAGCCCACAGAGGGCTTTGCCCTCTTAAGTTTATTAAGTACTCGTCAACTTAAAAAAAATATAGAAGGCTAAGCTCCTCCCTCAATTTACGTCTATGGTTTTGTACTCAATAAATTGATTCGAAACTTACTTACGACAAAACGTTATTTATGACCACTAGAACGTGTTAAAAGACAGTACATTTGTGTGTCATCATAGCCCACAGGTCACAGGTAAAATACATCTTTATTATCTTTGTAGAACGTCCGCCTTGGAGTAATAGTAATAATTAGCGATATAATTTCGTGAATTCTTTAATAGTTTAATACCTATGATTTCGTAATCATAATTCTATTAACATCCAAATAACACCGTGGCCATGACCTTACCACTTATCACTATGGCACATTGGCACTATCTACAGCAGAAAACAGATTAGTGAATATAATTCACTGCGACAGATTATCCGTGTCGCTGGACGCGTGTCGCATGTATTATCATTTGACATTTATCATTATCGCAGAACATATTATTTTGTACGTTATCATAGCGTAGTAAAGTATTTGCATACAAGCATATTGATTGCCAAGCACAACGCCGACGATCAAACGAATTATTTAACAATCAAGACAAATAATTATAAATTATAATAGTGTTGTACCTATTACATTATCATTTACTTTTCCTCGCCGCGGCTGCAGCGGTACCCACCATAGTATCGGCCAAGGGCGGTCGACGGTTTGTGGTTACGTTAATACGTTAGTAGTTTAGTTAGTACTTCAGTTCAGTTTGTCGCTCGACGCGGCTTAATACGGTTAGTGTGTATTCTATGACGACGAAAACACTACGACAGTCGTCAGTCTCGAATTCACGATCCATCAGTATTCCGAACGGGGTTTGCGGAGTGCTATTATTTGGCGTCTTCGAAAGTTTTAAGTCACCATGACGTCCTCCAATGCCGTCCAGTCAGAAGTAAAGTAAGTAGTCTTATTACACATTCATGTCCGAACTACGTCGTTAAATTGTATGTTTAAAAATACTTAATTAGGTACCTATTAGTTAATACTTATTAATATTATTACTTACGTCATGAACATTTAACAATAAACGATTTTTTAGGTAAGTATAATTGAATAACTATATTCATTAAACATTCGCATAGTATGATACTTGTATTCATATAAATACTTGCTTTACTTTCTGTGATCCATCACACACAAAATAAAAATATATGTAAGGAATATATTTAGTTCAAAAATATATATTCTAAAAAATGCATGTTTAGATTTTGGCTAAGAAATTAGCATAGCCATATAAATAACCATAACCCCTAGAGTAATAAAATGTAACTTATAACATTGAAATAAGCTCATATTTTTTTTTATTTGATTAGCAATCTGGTGTTTAATTAACCTCTTTAGATTAAATGTTTGCTAGAAATATAAATTTAAATGAATATTGAAGTTAGTTGATAATTAACCATTACTTTCAGTTTTTACATTTGAATATTTATATTTTAATGTTATTTAAGTAGAAGTTTACCTTATCTCATATACATATTTAAGATTATTGTTGAATGAACTGATAAACAAAAAAAGTTAACTAACATTAAGGCATTAATCCATACTTAAAAATTACCTCATAAGTATCTTGTAACTATGAGTTTATTTTGTAAATGAGCACTAAAAAAGTATATTTTGTTAGGTAGGTAAAATAGATATAATAGTTTTCAATTTAAAATCATGAATTCTTTATTACATTTGATGATAAACTTACAAATTATAAATTTTATTTATTTAAAAATATAATTATACCTACTTAATTTCAATCATGAATTTATAATAAATTATCAATATTGAAATTTATAGAATCAATTTTACAAAATTGACCTTTGAATTTTTATCTATTATAACAATTATTTTGATTATTTCTTTTTATTTAGAGTGTTCATTCAATTTAAATTAACACTTGTTTATCTATCATTTTTTAGTATTTTATAGATACTTTTAATAATACCATTAATGCTATTAAATATATTCTATGTAATCAAATTGTAGTATTTATTTTAATAGATAGGTGTTATTACTTATAAAGGTATCTACTTATTCAAATAATTTAAAAACAAAATACTTAATAAGTTTCCAAAATAAAAAACTAAAGCAGATTTCTTGACAGTTATAGATTTAATTGGGAAATTAATTTATCCATTGTATAAAATAGAATAGATTAATTAATGATTCGAGTAATGATTAATCAGTTTGTGACAAAACTGTTCAGCTATTTAGATTATAAATGTCTATGATATATTTTTTTTTATTTCAGTAATTGCTATTCAGATAATATATATTAGGTAATACATGTTTAATATATTTTATTATAATCTACTTATTCTGAAATAACCATATATCTTACCTGATAGGAAATAGTCAATTCTTATAATCATGACTTATTAATTAACCATAAAGGATTTTAGGATTTAATCCATGTTAGTTTATTTGTAAAAATATATTATATTTGTTGAATTGTTAATGTTTTGATGAAAAAAAATTAACCACCTGTTGCACTAATTTGTATGTTAAAATGGAATTATTTATATAAAACTGACTGTTGTTTTAACTCCTAGTCTATTAATATTTCACTTTTCTCTCATATATTTTACTATCAAATATCAATTTAATTTGTATTTTTCATCATTAATCATTATTCTGTATTTTTCTATTATATTTTAATAAAAGATAGTTTGTTACAGTATACCTTATAATATACTATAGTAAACCATGTTATAGTATACAGTTGATTTCGCTTTATTAGAACACATCGGTTGCGTATTATTTTGTCCCAATTAAGTGGTTGTCGCAATAATCTGAAATACTAAAACAAACATATAAATTTGTTAAAAAACTGATTTTTTTAATATATTTTTATTATTACAAATTACATATAGTTATAGAACTTATTTAATAATAAAAAAATAAAAACATGATATAACCTAATTATTTTTAAAAATGTATACATATAAAGAACATTCACATATTTTTTTATTTTTTTCTTATGTATTTTATCTTATTTAAAAAAAACTATGGATATTACTTTGTTTCTTACATATTATTGTTTGTGATACTCGATAAAAATGCCTCAATTACCTGTATTCATGGACCAGATAGCAGTGAACATATAAGTATACATTTATTTTCGTAGTTGAAAAATTGTCCCTATTAAGCAATTGTCTTCATTAACTGGTATCTCTATTAAACGGAATCAACTGTATTATTTTAACACATTAATTAATTAGAAAAATATATCTAATTTATTCAAATTTGTCATTTAATTAATATTTTCAATTTTAAAACATGTCTAAACTGTCTCTGTTTGAATTGTTATAGTTAAATATGAATTTTGGAATAATTCCTAGTTAATTATGTTACATATTATTTTATTTATTCTTACAAATATAATAATACTATATCATTTTTAACTTATTTTATTATTATAAACTAGAAGTATATTTTAATAATTACATTTTGAAGTCTGAATATTTTAATAATGTTCTTTTTTCATTCTTATTTATTGCTATATGTATATAATGCATTCTTAAAGTTTAATGTTAATATGAATATGGTTTCAATTTCAATGAAAAAATCGAGGATGCTAAACTCATTCAATTTTCTCCCTTCAAATAAACCTAAGTGAATAAATCACATCCTTTCTTATTTAATAAAAACCTTTAAATTAGCTAAGTTATTGTTACTATTCCCTTATTACTGTTAATTTAAATGTACAATTTTATATATTAACTTTATAATGAATATACTTTATTATATAATTTTAGAATTGCCCTTTGTAACATATTTATTGTGTTAATTAAATAAATAAGTGAAATTTTGTTTTTATTTTCAGAAAGCTTCCATCTTCTGACCGTTTCTCGTGAGTATTATTTTATCAATATTTTTAATTTAATTTAAATTATTTAATAATCATTATTCTATAGGAATATTTATTTTTTTTCAAAAGTACAAAGACAAATACAGCAATTATAATAATTTATTAATTTAGATTAAAATTAATTAATATATACTATAGTCAATATTGGAATTGTGTACTATTAAAACTAAATAATTTTAGTAAATATTTATTAAGATTTCTATAATTTAATATTTAGTGATTCGTTAAACTTAATTAATATTTAATATAAAATTACCTACCTACCTAATTTTCTTTATTTATAACATGGTTAAAATATTAAATACTCAAATGTATATTCATAGATTATTACCAAAAATAATAAATGGAGGTATAGCTGGTATTATTGGAGTAACTGTAGTTTTCCCACTGGATTTGGTTAAAACAAGACTTCAGAATCAAAAGCCAGGTCCTGATGGATCTTTCATGTATAGATCAATGTAAGACTATAAACATAATAATAACCTTTATAATAGTTTTCATAATTTGAACTAATTAATAGGCTTGATGCATTTCGAAAGACATATGCTGCTGAAGGATATTTTGGAATGTACCGAGGATCTGCTGTAAATATTTTATTAATTACACCAGAAAAAGCCATTAAATTAGCAGCTAATGATCAATTTCGACATTGGTTGGCACCGCCTGGGTATGTATTACATAAATATAATTGAATAGAACAGAAGAAACATGTTAAAAACTCTAATTTTTAAGGAAGCCTTTAACGTTAATACGCGAAATGTTAGCCGGTGCAGGTGCTGGGCTTTTTCAAATTGTTGTTACTACTCCTATGGAACTATTGAAAATTCAAATGCAAGATGCTGGACGAGTTGCTGCACAAGCAAAATTAGGTATTTCCAATTATTTTTTTTTTTATTTTTTGTAGAAATTGATGTATGTCATTAAATTTAAATATTTTTGAGTATTAGTTTATTTGTACCATTAATAGATAAAAAATAAAATTTGAATGTTATTACTTGTTAATTTAATCTATAAAAAATTATTTTATGTACAGATATATATGTTCATAAAATTGTATTAATTTTTTAGAAGGAAAAACTGTGCCAAAAATATCAGCTACATCATTGGCACGTGAATTAGTTGCATCCAAAGGGTTATTAGGTCTTTACCGCGGTGTAGGAGCTACAGGAATGCGTGATGTAACATTTTCCATCATTTACTTTCCAATGTTTGCTAGGCTAAATGCTTTGGGACCACGTAAAAAAGATGGCTCTGGTATAAATTTTATTTTTTTTAGATAAATTTCAAACATAATTTATGTTTTTTTATTTATCAGGCGATGCAGTATTTTGGTGTTCATTTGTATCAGGTTGTGTAGCTGGTTCATGTGCTGCTTTAGCTGTAAATCCAATTGATGTAATTAAAACTAGATTGCAAGCAATTAAAAAATCTGATGCCGAGGTAGAATATAAAGGAGTTGTTGACTGTTTTATGTAAGATCATTTTTATAAATAAAATAATTCAATATTATTATATTACTTTATATTCTAGGAAAACATTTCGTAATGAAGGTCCTTTGGCATTCTTCAGAGGTGGCGCATGCCGAATGATAGTGATTGCACCACTTTTTGGTATCGCACAAACTATTTATTATTTAGGGGTAGCTGAAAGAATTATGGGTGTGAAAAAATAAAGAGGCAATATTCAGTGTAAAGCAATAAAAATGTATCTGAAATTAGTTCACTTTTATCCTTACACAGTATTATTGTTAGCTCACTTTTGCGTTTTCACATATTTCTGAGGCTTAGTTAAATACTTATACGAATTTCAAATTTAGTACCTATGAGTGACAAACCATTTACCAAGTTTCACTAAATTATAATCGTTCAATTATTTAATTCAAAGAGGCCAATAACAGTTCAGGGTTGTTATGATTTTCTTGTTTTTATTAATTTTTGTTGGCTTCAACTATTTATTTAGTTGTACTATAATATTTTTATATATATACCAAAAAACTATTTATGATACTTATTATGATAAATAATAATAAAGTAGTTAACTTAGATAAAAACAATCATTTGAATATATGTAACTAATGTTAAGGTTGAAATTAACTGTGATTGTTGATAAACATTATCTTAATTGTGTACTTAAATATTACCTGTGCTGTCATTCATTCCGTGTCCAATGTAACCGTGATTATATGTTAATGCCAAATTTTTACTTTACTTACTATTATAATTAATATAGAATTATACTTATTTTGATTATTTTAATAATGTCTAAAAACCATAATAAATTTGACAATTAACTTTATTAACTGAATAATTCTGTTTTTGTTTATAATTATGTCATTTTTGCTAAAATTCTAAAAAAATGTATTATACTTGATCTATACATTTGAGTTAAGAAGCTGAATATACATAATATATTAGTATATAACTGTTTTGTTTATTGAATTATGTATTTCTTGAACAAAATAAGAATTGTATGCAGAATTGATTAAAGTCTTAGTATTTTAATAGAATTTTTCAACAGACAAGTGCAAACATTACAAAGGTTTTTGATTTTGGTAAATATCTTACTCCAAATTCCAGTTGTATCATACAATTTATCAATATATTATATACTTGCATTATACATATCTGAAATTAAAAGATATTTTTTTATTTTGTTACATATTTAAGAATAATAAAAAAAATGAATCAGTTTCTTTGATTCTTCTATAAATGATCAGAAGAAAGTGCAAATTATGTTTCTTAAAACATTTGCACTAAACTCTAGGTTTAGAATTTAAATGTGATTAGTAGAGTGCTATACTCTAAACATTTCAAAAACACTCATTGTATATCATGAGAATAACCTAACATATCTACAAACATAATGTATGACATTAATTAATTTTAAGTGTATCAAAAAATTGTTCGTTAATAACAATGACATTGACAATTGACCCTTATTTTTATTAATATAACCATTATTACATACTCTTGATGAATACTTGGTAACTAATTATTTATCTGCTATGTTTCATATCATTTTCATCCTTCTAAAGTGAATGGGTACCTATTAATTTATTAGAACTTTATAGAAATATCATAGATCATTAATGTTTTATGGAAAGATATAACACTGATTTACAAATTTATTATTTACATAGTAATCTATAAACTTGATTGAATTAAGTAATGCAGTGTAATTGAATAGTCGCGTACATCAAAATAAATGTTTGTGTAAATAGTAGTTATGTTGAGTTATTTTTATCGGCTATTGCAAAATAACACCACAGTTATTGGGTACCGACAAGGACGCCCTCAGAAATGTAGCTCAGAGGGGACAAAAAAAAATTGTAAGTACCTATACTTATGGGAAGATTTACCGCTACATCTTTCATCTACTCATATTTTATAATACAATCATTAATAATTTTTTTTTAAATTAAAACTAATTTAAGTTAATATAAAATTACGCTATTCTAATATTTATAATAAAAAACATAATAAAGTTTAAACAAAAAACAACTTTATTTGATTGAATTTACATCATATTAATTATTTTATTCAAAAAGTAATGACAATCTCATTTAGTTTGAAGCAAATAAATTAATTGAATCATCAATTTTTTGATTAAAAAATTGTTTATTGTCATACCTTTGGCGATGGATATTAATATTATTAATTACACTTCCAATTTTGTAATTGACTTGAAAAATCTCAGGGGGGCAATGGCCCCCACTGTACCCCTCCGAACGTACCTGGGTACCGACATTGAATCTATACGTCATTATAATATGAATTGATGGTACGACGTTTGCAATAGTAAGTATTTTATTGCTCTGTGATATGTCATTTTCCCAAGAGCAATGTATGTTTGTATAACAGTATTTTTATTTTATTTGGTCCACCGAAAATCCATTTGTTTTTCAAGAAACCCTTTTAAACTATCAGAAAATTGAAGTTTTGTGTATCATATTACGTTGTTGAACAGTGGACCGTATTTTCTTTGAAACAACAGTCAGTAAACATTACTTGTATACTGAGATATTTCAACACAGTTTACTTAGTTGCTTGAAATCGATGAAGCTAGATAATAACAATAATATCACATATCATACATCAACATCAGTTGCGGACCTGTAGTGAGTAGTGACCCAGTTAGGAATATTGTTTCCAAATATGACTAATACACGTTAGTGTGTGTAACTGGGTAGGTACCCATAGGCCAGAAGGCCACTACGATAAGACTTTCCGGATCCGGTCCGTGTACTCCGCGTCGGCCATTGTAGGAAGTTGACGAGCGGTCGATCAGCACGTCTAAGTAAGTGTAAGCTTGTCGGTTCGGCTCTCATCTCTTCTTAAATGTTGATGTACTTTAAAATCATTTACGTAATCATTGCTATAATTTTGATTATATCTATTTAAATAAAAACAATAATATTAATTTGTGCTGTTGTTCTCCATAATAAATTTAAAACCTTCCACTGTACTGTTGCCTATCGTTGTTGGAACACAACACATCTAATGAAATAATGCATTTTTTTACAAGGTTTTGGCGAGCGTATCATCTCCAAAGAATTATGTTCTCACTCCATTTTCCTGAATTATCATCGAAATATAAAAGATAATATTAATTAAAATGTTGGCAATTTCTACTAAATATTTTAGGTAGATGGTAAGTACCCAGTTAATAATATTTATTTAGAAAAAACTTCTACAAATCTAGTTAAGAAATAAGTCTTTTAAAAAAACAATTTTATTTGAAGTACCCTAGGGCCAAATAAAAAAGGTGTAAATATACATAATACCTACCTATGTATGTATTATATCATTATATGTTTATATATTGATGTAAATAGGCAGTATGTACCTATTGCACTATGTATTTCAGTAGGTATTTGTTCAGTTATTTCAGTACTTATTTTATTTTATTCATCAAAAAAGTTAACAACTAAAATAAAAAGCTAGTCGTATTTCTAAAATATTTATAAAAGTAGGTAAATTAATAAATTCACGAATTAAGTAGGTACCTAGGTTGTTGCGTCCGTTATGTCAACGTCGATACATATATCAACGTAGAAATAGAAATACTAATGTTTGCAAGTTAAAAGATTAAGTCTTTATTTAATACAATTAACTCGTACAAGAATACAATTTTATAAGCACAAGATGGTGTGAGTGGTGTTACGACCTGCCTCTGAGCGTCTCGAATATCCCTAACCGTCTGCTGAGCTCTTGCCCTGGTCTCCCTTATATATGGTTAACCGTCAAGAGTGGTGACTGAGGAGGTGGTGACTTCCGATGACCTAAAGGAGCTCTCTAAATTAAATGTATTATTCAGTTGGGTGCCTTTCCTGCGATTTCATCGGTTCTACGAATTACAAGACGTGTGATCAAGTCTTAATTGTCAAATTAAATAGTACAATGTTAACACTGTTGTTTACTCATCATTTCTGAGAAGTCCAAGACGTGTGACCATGTCTTATTCATTATATTTAATATCACGATGTGCAGGTGTTCGCCCTATCCGTTGGTGCTACACTGTTTGAATATATTATCCCATCGGTATACACATCACCTCTCCGTATAATATATATGTGTAAAATAACACGGTACGTAACAAGGTATTGTTTATAAAAAATTTAAAGTTCTTATTACCTTAATTTCTCAAATTTGAAAATAAATAAGAAAAGTACATAATTGAAAAAAAAAATTGATTGCCACATAATCTTTAGATAATTATTAATAGGTACAGAGGTATTTAAAAATTCCAAAAATGAGAATTCGAATAAATACATATTTTATTATCAAAAGAAAAAAATTAAAAAATTAATTTTGCTATAAGTAAGTTTTGAATGTACCTTAACGTTGAATACACTATTATATAAACATTAAAATGTAATAGATATAGGTATATTATGTATATTTGAATTGAATTTCCAAGCAGATAAAAGGAAAAAAAATTACGAGTATAAAATGTATGAACAACGCATTTAATAGTACAAAATACGATTGACAATAAGTGGTGTGCGCATAAGTAGCATATTATTAATTATCATTATGGCAAGTGTCAAGCGGTGGATTGAAGTAATTTTCATAATCATTATTTATTTTTGGAAATCATAAATTTATCCGTCCTCACAAGAACTAACAAACCATGTTTAAATGTAGGTAATAAATATATAAAAATACAAAATTCTAACTACTTGTACATTTTTATAGGCAATAGGCGTCATCAGTGTGAAGAGACGTTTTGATTAAATATATTATCCGAGGCCGAAAACTCCTATTGGTATAAACAAGGTCTGCTAAATTAGAAGAAAGTTTTTTTCATGTTTTTATTGTTTAGTTGGTAGGTTAACTGGTATACATTATTTATTGCATTAAACAAGTAATACAAATTAGCCCGATTTGTATCGAATTAATCGATTTTCAAACAAAACAGCAACTAACTGGTAGACGATTACATTTTGTAGTATCCGTGGTGAGGTGGTACTTTAGTATCTTTAGTGGCTTGATGGTTTCATTCCCACTACAACTGATAAACCTTTTTGTACATTAATTTTTACAATTTTATTCATTCACTGAGTTCGTGATCTTAATACTATATGGTTATGTTTAATCATGATCTATGCCAATTATATCTAATCACCGATGATAACTAATAAGTATTCATTTTTTTATAGCTAGGTATATCGTTAAGTATAAGAGGGTGAACACGCACTTTAATTTTTCTTTATGACTCAGGCAGGCATGTGCAACTTAAACATAAGGTATATGAGTATTGGTATATTCACGAAAAATTTATTTTTTCTAAATCTAACTTATTTGTCTGAACATCAGAAGGAAGGTAATTACTTTAATTACATAATCTCGTTGTTTGATGATAAGATCTTCAGTACTTATCAGTGTAGAGAATTTATTTTGATTTCTTTAAATCTTCATTAATTTTAGTTGTCATTTTTATATTAAAACAGTAGTAGAAATGCTTAAAAATTTATCAAAATATTCAATAATTTTCATTCCATTCAGAAAACAAGAAAATAATATGCACAGGTAAATGCGTAATGGTAAAAAGTTTCAAGTCTCCATACGATAGAACATGAAATATAAATAATTATAATTATTATAATTCAAATATTTTTGAATTGCAACAAGACGACTAAAATTTTTCTATGAAAATTCAGTATTTTTAAATTTAATATTCAATCATATCAAAATGTAGTATTTAAATATTCACAGAAAATTAATTTTACATTTCATCCAACTATTTTTTTTAGAATTCTAGTAAAGACAACATATAAGAAACCTTGAATTTAATTAAACTTTATATTCAAGGTTGACTTACAAACATGAAAATCAAAAATTGATGATTTTATAATGTTAAGTGTTTACTAATAATGAAATATGTTAAACAATTTAAATCTCTACATAGGGTATTCTTTTCCAAGTATAACAAATATATAAAATTGATTTTACTTAATACTGTGTTATACATAAATATGTGTTTAATTTATTTAATGCACTAACCAGATCACATTTATTACTAGAAACCATGTGTTATGTCAAATTTTAATTTAAAATATTTTGTTCCAAAAAACCACCTCTAATCAATTTATTTTTGTTTTATTCTGAATCTAAAAATAAAATACTTTATTTTGTAAAAACGGAAGTTTTGTTAAAATGTATTTATTTGACGACACAAAAAAAATAAAAATAAAATAATACAGTAATAACAATATCAATATAATTTGTATATTAATTAATTAAACAACAATTTACACGATAAAACTTGACACTAATCTACAACAAAGAAAAAAATTCACTCAAAATATTATCTTAAAATATGTAGACTCAAATGAAATAAATGTGTATTGAACCTAAACTATAAATAGATGGGATGGTTATAATTTATGCAATTAAATAGTTACCAAATGGAATGCGAAAAAATATTTTAAATAGAATGTTTTATTTTTGTTTTTAATATGCATAATATTGCTGTGGATATTTACTGCAATTATTCAGCAAATTTTCTGTTGGGATTGCGACCGAACAATGCAGTTCGTACAGCTGGTACCAATTGCTGTGCAATCAGTTCCAATCGTGATTCCAGTGTGTTACAAATTTTTATTTTATTCTTTTGTGCCAACAACTCAATACCGCCACATGTTTGGGGGGCTAAAAATGAATCAGTGTCCAATTTCAGATGTACATCTTTGTTGGATACTTTCTTATACTCTGCTGCTACTTCATCAATTAATTCTTCCACAACTGATACATCACTTTCACGAACACGTAACGTGACATTTTTTTCCAACAACTAAACAAGACAATAAAAAATTTTAATTACTTAATATCAAAATTTTAACATTTTAACTGCATAAACAACTTATATCTCAACATATAAATAATTAATAAAATTAAATAAAAATCTGGTGTTATAATATTATGATAAATTGTTTTAAAATAAATATTTTCTATAATTACCTTTAAATAAACAAAAAGTACATAACAATTTAGAAACCTTAAATATACATGTGATATCTTATCTAAAGAATGCGCAACAAGTCATATTTAAGGTTCAGAAGGATTTGTTTTAATCTGTTATTTGTAATATTAGTGTTAATCAATTCATTATTAAATTTAAAGGAAAAAAAATTATCTAGAGCAATTTTTTTATTTTGAATAAGTTGAGAGAATTTTAAAATTTACAACTTTCTCTTAGTTATTATAAAAAAGCACAACATATAAAAATAGTAATAAGATGCTTATCAACAATGAAAATAGTTTTAAACTAAATTTTAAATAAATCTACTAATTTTACAATTTGATATGAGAACAATTTATTTCTTAGAATGCTTAAATAATATATAACTTTTGTTATTTGTCTAACCTGTAAGATTGCTTGTAATATTAATTTCCTTAGAACTTCTCTGTACAAATCAGGGTTATTTGTCACTTGGACCAAACGCTTTCTTGCTTCATCTAAAACATCACTGACATGATCTTCTCGTACTTTTAATGTCTTAAGACGAGCTTGATTTAACATATTAGAAGATTGAATAAAAAAATAAATAACAATTAATCAATTTTTAAGAAAACTGTAATCAGGTTCTATTCTTAATGTATGTTAAAATGGCATTATAATTTATAATATAATATATCAATTAATTTAAACATTTCCCTCAATTTCTTTTTAAACCATACAAGTCAAAAGAATAATAAAAGATTGCCATTATAAGCTATTATAATTTATAGCTTTAATTAGATTTTAAAAAAGAGACAACAATATTTTTATACTTTTTTTTTGCGATAAAATATTTTTATTATACACTCTATAAAACAGTTTACTATAAGCATAAATGATGTAATTTTTTTCTTTCTATTATATGGTCGTTAAAGATATTTCATCGTATCTAGTTGATTTTAGGTATCTTTTTACATTTTAAAATGTATTTTTTACAAATTTTCAAAATATGTTACTGATTGAAGTCTGGCATCTTTTTACTACTGTTTTCTTAATTTTCCATTTTAGTTTTGGATAAAAAAGATTTAGTTAGATACCTAACTACATTCATTGTAATAATTAATTAATGGTACATAAAATATGATAATTAATTATCAGATGAATAGTTTTTATAATTTTAATTCAAACAACTATTATAACCTTGAAATGGACAAAGGTGTGTTCAATTTGTAGAAAAACACTTCAGGAGCATACTCACATTTTTTTCTGTAATTCCACTTGTTTTTCTTTACGCTCAAAATACTCCATAATCTTGAGTCGCTGGTGTTGGACCAGACGTCCCTTTTCAATGTTGAACTCTTCTTCGGCTTTGGCATCAATTTCCTCGGCTTTTTCATTGGCTTCCTGTTCGATGAAGGCCATCATGTGTTTGATTTGTGAAAGGAAATAGGAATCGATGAGTAAATTATGGGGTTGTCATAAGCCAACTGGACATAACATAGAAGAAATAACATAATGACAATGTAGTAACTGCAAGGTGTCGGTGAGACAGGGTAGCTATGGACATTGACAGTTCAACAAAATACTTACTTGTTTTTGAACATCAGCATCGCTGAGCGCCATTTTTGGACCGTGTGTTGGACGTGAAAAATATCGACAAGACAGAAAAACGGAAAATCAGAAAGTGTAAAGAAAAAAGTTGAGAAATGGGCGACGGGCGACAAGCAGCGAAATAGAACAACCAACGCCCAATGGCAAATTAAGTGCAACAGCAGTACGATGGGTTGGTGGGATGTGGATTGCAGTAGGCGGAGTGGGGCGCCAAGCTGTAGAAGAAGATATCGCTGTGTTATCAACGCGTTATCGGTGGGATGTCCGGGAAGACGGGAATTTTTTGAAAATTAAAAGGTAAAAATCGACGTTTCCGTGGGTCACGGTTCGGGTATCGAAGATTGACAAATGCGAGCTCGAGACCAAAATTTTTTTGAGAACCCAAGGCCGACAAACCATATATCCGTTTTCTCTTCCACGGGCCATCACTGGTGCTTTGTTTTGCCCACCAGACGTGTTATTGAGTTTGTCGGCGGCCGAGTAGGTGTACTTATCGTATATACTGTATAGGTACACACACATATACACACACACACACAAATACACACATACACATCGTCGTCCCCGATCGGCCGTTTCGCAAAAGTCTACCATACGATATATTACATTTATATATATATATTGTTATAATACAACACCAGACCGTTGCCGACCCGCACCAGTGCACCACCAGGGCATTGTCAATCGTCATCATATTGTCATCATCATCATCGACACGGCCGCCGCCGACAACTGCTGTTGCTCGAGTCGCGCGTCTAGTCCGCGAGAGTTGTTACTAAACGTTACGTTCTTTTAGGCAACTCTCTGGTTTTTTCTTTTTTTTTTTGTCCATCAGTTTTTCTTTGCATCACGCCGTCGTGTCTCTGACCACAGTCCGCCGAAATCGTTTTTCTACAATAACTATTTATCTTCTATCACATATTTTTGTACGTTTAGAGTCCGCCGCCGCCGCGACTTAGAGCGTATGTGTGTGAGTATATATATATATATATGTGTGTGTGTGTGTAACAGTACGCTTTCGGCACCACACGCCGCCGCCGCTTAACACGGTAAATCGCGCGCCAACATACGGACCGTGCGTTTGTGCCAAAACGACATCGTCAACAACAACAACAACGACAACAATAACAACGACAACGACAAGGACAACCGCGTCAACACGGACGACAGTTTTTGCTTCTGATCGCACTGGCCCTGGTGCCAGGCATGTCGGCCAACGAACGTCGTTGAACGGATCGACACATAGCCGTCACCGCTCGCGCAATTCAATTTGCGAGCATCTCCCCCCCGAGAGGTAAGAACCGACCAGGGTCTTTGCTGTACGCAGTATCGCAAGTTAGAAGCGCGGCACAGTAGTTTTTTACTGTTGTTGCTTGCCGCCGCTTTCTCGAATTACACTTTTTTTCCTTTAATCGTCTTCGCATTTTATTACCCATCACTGCTTGTCCGATTATGTTTTTCTTGGAATCATTTGTTGGTTGGTCGCCAATCACGTTCGACTATACACCTGTACTTCAAGACAAAGAAGACTATACTCGTATCGCTGTCCGTCCACAGTATATGAACCTAGAAAGAAAAACAGTTACATTTGTCAGATAGATATTTTTCTATATTGATGTCACTGCGCTTCCTAGAACAGCGTTTTCACTTCTTTTTGTGATTATTAGCTCACCGATTCACCAACTAGTGTTCATTTTGATTAGTAACATTTGTTCTAAAGTACGATCAATGTATACAAGTATAATATGCGGTGTAAACGGAGTGTTAAAATATTCTTTGTTCTACTCTCAAACCGGTAGATAACTAAAAAGAAATTTCATTGATGACGGTATTATACTTATTTTGTTACAATATTTTATATAATTTAGAGTTATATACTTAAGTAAATGATAAGCAAAGTGATTAGTTGGTATGTTATATGAGAACAATTTTTGAGATCTTAATTCCAAATATGCATTCATGAAGAATTTATGAGCATCCTTAAACAGTTTAAAATGTATCGCTTGAAGAGCTAGTTAGATTATGAGTTTAAATTTAACTGTTTTTTTTTTTTTTTTTCATACAATATGATGTTTTAAGTTATTTATTATTCATTTATCATTCTTACTATGCAATAATATGTTTATAAAAACTCAAAAATATTTTTTGATGTAATACTTAAGAATTGTATAATCAACCTAAAGGTAATTGTTTTTAAATTACTTTGATTTCTCCATGTGGTGTATTTGAGTTAATTCTTCATAAATAATTAAGTGCTGATACATTTACCACTGAGATAATAACTTGAGTATTACAATATATTTACCTCTTTAGTTAATTAGCTTTTTCTGTTTAAGTTGTATTTTCATTGATTAGGTTAATTATGTTTATTTGTATATATTATGTAACAAATAACAGATAAATCCTTTACTTAAATGCATTAAATATTTTACAATTAGGGTGTATTGTATAATTTATAATTAAATTTGTAAGTGCTTGCTAATAGTTTAAATGCAATGCTTTTAATTAATTAAGCAGTTACCAATAATATAATAAACAATAATACATAATTTACTTTTGATTGAGACTTTTCACAAATACAAAATTTTTGAAAAATTAATGTAGATATAACTATATTCTAACTGTTGGTTTAATTTATGATTAATAATCATCAATATTATTGCTTAGATTTTAATAAAGAAAAATAGATAAGATTTCTGTTAACAATAAATATTAACACATAAATTTACAAACCAATTGTTGTTATTACATTATATGTTGTACAATCATAATCTATAATAAAAGACTTAAATAAATAATTTGTATTATCATAAAATAACTATTGATTTAACAACAAACATATAGGTATTTGTTATATGACATCTTTGAAATATTTATTGAATTTTAAACAAAGTAAATAAAATTATGTAAGAAATCATTAATGACTGTAGGCACTGATGAATAATATTTCATGCATAGTGCAAACTTACTTATATTGACAGTACCTATGTTATATATTTTTTAAACTAATTATCAATTTATTCTACTAGTTACAGTCCTTAAAAAAATTAAAATCAATAAAAAAAAAAAATTTAATAGAGACATCATTATTATTGTTATTTTTTTGTTTTATTTTTAAAATAAAGCCAATGCATACCTACATAAATAAAAAAAAAACACTTGATTATAATTGTTGTTGTTATTTTTATCTTAATATAATATATTCATAAAATTTAGTGGGTAATTAAAGTGTTTATTTTATTTGTGCATATGCTATATGTGAATATTATATATATACAAAATGTTATCTGTTGCGTTATATGTATATATTATATTTACTCACAATTTAAACCATTATGACAGACATTTTTATTTAATTGACTTGTGTTCAAGGCATTTTATTGTATTAGTCTTTAAACAATTCTGACTAAACTTTCAAAAAATTATATATCTATATTATTTATACTTAATGGAAATAGTCAATAGACAATTTAACTTCAAAAATATTTACATACCATTTTTCTAAAAAACAGTCATCATGTAAATCTTATGTACCATCACAAACATTTTAAAATTATAAATAAGATAGCTTAATAATATAATAGTATTTAAAACAAGTTATTGTTACAAATACTGCCACTTCTGTGTTTATTATTATTATAATCTTGTCTACATATTATGTAGTATTTACAGTTTTCAAGTTAACTTTTCTTTACTTGTAGGTAATATTTTTGTTTAGTTTTAGATAACTATTATGTAAATAAAAATTGAAAAATGTAGTTGTACATACCAAATAATTATACTATATTTAATTAATTTGATGGAGTTTTAGTTTTTTAATAAATTTTATCTTTATTTCCCTTTATTTTTTTTAATTTTTAGTAAGTAGCATAACTTAATTAAATATATTATAAACATATTAACTAAAATACTTTTTTATATATTCTAGCAAGCTGAATAAAAGACGTGTGCTTAGGCACATTACAAAGTTAACAACAGGCGCAACAGTGGCTACCGCGGCAGCAAGCAAATGTTTACACCACAACACCAACAGCTGTCGCCTAATCGGGCGTCAATCAACATGCAGTCGCCACAAGCCAGTAACCTATCGAGGGGTATATTTCAGAGAGGCGGATTTGCGACCAACCCTGGAGCAGATAGGAGGAATCATATGCCGGGTATCGCATCACTCATGCAAGAATGGTTTGTTACAAATCCTAGAAAAAACAAATGTATATGTATTATAGTTTGACATGTATACATTTAATAAAGGAGTTCAACATCATTGGCGAATAACGCAATGAATAACTATGGTGGGTCAAGTTCTAGTAGCAGTAGATCTGCGTCTGGCTACAACTTGTCTTCCCAACATGGTTTTCATTCGGCATTCGGCAGCAACCATGTTGACAATGGCAATGCAGCACCTCCTATACTGGACCCGTCTGAGTTTCCTTCTCTCACCACTGGACGTATATCTAGCAGTGGGCAAGGAGACAATGTCGGTGTTCTACATTCCAGCACAATGCCTGCAGGAAAACCTTATGGTAAACATTCACCATTCAAATCATTTGATCAGCTGTTTAGTAGTGAGTTAAAATCATTCTGTATTTGTGTAGTAACTTAGTGGTACTATTGTATAAACTATTAAGGAACACACAATTTTGTTTAGCAATTTTTAATCATTTTAATTGTGCTTTATTATTATAGTGGGAATGGTGAAAGCACCGACGTCTGAAACGAGTGAATTTACAATGAGTAGTAAAGACTTCCCAGCATTGCCTGGTACGCAACCTCTCAGTGTTACAACTACCTCGTCTACGACAACAGATCCAAACCAACAGTCCTCAACAACAACTTCTGGCTCGACGACCATTTCATTAGATCAGAATGGAATGCAATCGTCTACTGACCATTTGTCAGATCAGAGACTGAACAACCTGAATAGCCAATCGGACAATAATTCTCAAGAAAATGGAGACTCTGGAACCAAAAAAGGAGTACAAACATCGCCTGATGGTTTGTATTATAAATTGATTACATGTTATTCATTGGCATAAATTCAATCTTAATATAGGTAAAGTGACTAACATACCTGGTAGTATGGTACGCGATCAATTTGGTATTGTTGGTTTATTGACATTCATTAGAGCAGCAGAATCGGATCCTA